CACAAGTTGGGACAAGGACCTCGTGCACAAGGTGAAGGGTTGCCTGTACACGAAGTGTACTAGGGAACCCGTGCGAGAGTAACAGAAGCACCCGCGAGTGCAACTCAAACGTCTCGTGCACATGTGCAAGTGGCGCAACTGGTGCAGAGGTTCGCGGGTGTTCATCAGCGCAGGGTCGCGTCACATCCTGCGCACCCTCGCAAATGCACAAGATAATTTTGGCAAAAAAAATCGAATGTGCCTTAATTTCGACCAATCAGGAGCCGGGATTTCGACCGAGGTGGTCAAGGAAGGTGGTCGACAAAGGTCGCCGACCCGCGACAACGAAGGTCGTCGACCCGCGACGACGGAGGTCGTCGACCCGCGACGACGGAGGTCGTCGACCTTTGATGACGGAGGTCATCGACCTACAGGGTCGCCGGAGACTCTATCCGGTCGACCAAGTTACCTACTTGAGGAGGTTCTGCGGAGGTGTGCGAATGTTGTCGAAGCTACTGTGGCGAAGTCGACCAACGTGGCAGCACGTGGTCGACGTGGCTCGTCAGGTGCAACCGCCAGCATGTGGCTCACAACCTGTGCAATGTGCGCAACAATACACGTCATGCGTAACTGTCCACAAGCACCTGCGAAGTAGGTGCTTGCACATGCACTTACAATCACCTGCGGATGCAACGTTGGCAAGCCGCGCGGGTGATGTGTTGGCAAGCCGCGCGTGTGCATCGTTGGCAGGCCGCCATTCTGCATGGCAAGCCGTGCACGAGCTGTGTTGGAGGGCTGCAGACTTGCTACGTTGGCAGGTCGACGACCTTGTCATGCTAGCGATCGACCTGCCTGTGCACTAGCAAACCCTGCATCTGATGTAGTCAATCTTTGCCATTGCTTGTTCATTCTGAATTCGGTATTCTCAACTTTCCTAGTGAAACTCTTGCTGTTTTGCCCTGTGAAAACACAAGTGCTAGAGAACACAGACAGAGCTACGATCACTCTCAGAACCAGTGCCTACCCCATAGTCTAGCCCCCACCGTTGTAGAGTTATTCTCCGCATGGTGCGGTGAGCGTGGAACGGCCCCTCAGATACCTTCATATTAGTAGCCGACGTATCACCTACCTAAGTCGTTCGTAGGCCGGCAGCCCATGCAAACCATGACGCCTACACTGACAGCGGCCGGTGCGGTAAAGGAGACCTTGGAGGCACGTTTGGCTGCTGCGACGAGACGCCATGGAGATGGCGAGTTCGGGCCGGTACTCCCCTTGGAGGTGGTTCTCCTGGGGATCCGTGCGCAGTGGGCGACGGAACACCCTTCCCGACCTGCATCTCCTCGACCTGTGCGCAATAAAGGCGGTGTCGACGAGGAGGTCGACGGCGGTGACCAAGTCGGCGGCAGCGAGGGCACGAGGAAGATAGGAGTGATCAGGTCCGCCGACGATGGCGTCGACGGGAATCAGGCGCGAGTGCAGCGGCTCCTAGTGGGAGGCGCCGCAGCGGCAGGGGCAAGGGAGGCAGGGGTGGTGGGGGTGGCAGCGGTGGAGGCGGTGGTGGTGGGGGCGGTGGAGGCGGTGGAGGTGGCGATGGTGGCGGAGGGAGTGGTGGTGGGGGTGGCGGCGGTGGTGGCGGCAGCGGGAGTGGTGGCGGCGGCAGTGGTGGCGGCAGTGGGAGTGGTGGCGGCGGCAGTGGTGGCGGCCGGGGTGGTACCAGTCAGAGGGGAGGATTTGGGGGTGGTCAGAGGCAGCAGCAGCAGCGTCAGAGTGAGACCCCTTCGCCCCAGGAGCTTCGTGAGTGGTTTGCTCAGCGTGGGGCGTCTGGGGGTAGTCTTCGCTCCCAGTACGTCATTTGCACATGTGACCGCACTGGTCAGACATGCGGGAAGGTTGGTCACTCATAGTCCCGCTGCTTCTCCCGTCTTACCGACACCTTTCGCGAAGAGTTTCCAGACGCGACTGAGCTCCCCCGCTGGGCAGAGCTGCTTAGGCAGGGTGTGGATATCTTTGCTCTTGATTATGATGCCATCCTTGCTGCCATGTATGCATTGTCTGTTAGTGCTGAGGGTGACTGTTATCTGTGTATGCCGCCCGACCCAGGTATAGAGGCTGCTGCTCTAGGTGCTAGTGAGTCTGCTCTCTCTGGAACTGTGCCTGCTGAGGCCTTGCACACCTTGACGCTTGACTCAGGTGCTTCCCGCTGTTTCTTTCGCGACAGTACCACAGTCACACCGCTCCCTGCACCTGTTGCTGTCTCTCTGGCTGACCCCTCTGGGGGCCCAGTCCTTGCACCTTCCTCCACTGTTCTCCCGTGTCCGGCGGTTTCGTCTGGCTCACTGTCATGTCTTCACCTCCCCTGGACGCCGACCTGGGCGTCTGGACGGCGTCCTGCGCGTCTGGACGCCGGCCTGGGCGCCTGGACGCCGACCTGGGAGTCAGGACGCCGGCGTGGGCGTCAGGACGCCGACCTGGGAGAACGCCAACCTGGTGGCGTCAACCTGGTTTCCCGGTTGACTCAGTTACCCGGGCGACAGGCACTGCGGGGTGCGCGAGAGTCGCCCAGGAGGGTCGTGCAAAGCTGACTTCAGTGTGGTATCCCGAGGTCAACGTGGAGGATCAGGTGCAGCCGTGGGCACTTGGTCAGCTTGGCGTCTGCCTGTGAACGTTACTGGGCACAGCACGCCAATCAGTTGCGAGCACCTGCAAACCAGGTGCGCTGCTGTCCTGCGGGTGCAACGCTGTGCAGCCGCCTTGCTGCAGCATTGGCACACCATGGACTAGCAACGTTGGCGCACCGCTACTCTGCAACGCTGGAGCGGTGCGAGCGCTGTCGACGCCATCACGCCGTCGACTTGCAGCGTTGGCAGACCGCAACCTTGCGCTGCTGGAGCGCGATCGACCATGCAGTGCTGGAACGCGGTCGATTGTGCTACGCTGGCAGTCGACCTGCATGCTTGCTAGCATCTGATGTAGTCCATTGTTGCTCTGTATTCTGTACCATAGTTGTCAACCTTTGCCAGTGAAACTCTTGCAAAATCTCCTCGTGAATGTGCACGCAGAGAACACACAAGCAAACGACTGGGGCGGCAGCGCGCCGCTCCTCACTCCTCCTCGTTTCCCCCGACGACTGCTCCCCTGCAGACTCTCCACATGGACGTGTGGGGCCCAGCCCGCATCCGTGAACAGGGCCGCGATCGCTACTTTCTGCTGGTTGTTGACGACTACACGCATTACACCACGGTCTTCCCCTTGCGCAGCAAGGGGGAGGTCCCTGATGTTTTGATCCCCTGAATCAGTGCTGTCCGTCTCCAGCTCCGCGAGCGGTTCCACGAGAACCTTCCAGTCCTGCGTCTGCACTCTGACAGAGGTGGTGAGTTTTCCTCCGACCTCTTGCGGGACTTTTGTCGTGGGGAGGGCATTCGCCAGTCATTCACGCTTCCGGCCTCTCCGCAACAGAATGGGGCTGCTGAGCGCCGCATTGGCTTGGTCATGGAGGTCGCTCGTACCTCCATGATCCATGCGGCTGCCCCCCGTTTTCTGTGGCCGTTTGCGGTCCGGTACGCTGCGCATCAGCTCAACCTCTGGCCCCGTGTCTCCTTGCCTGAGACCTCGCCGACACTGCGTTGGACGGGGGACGTTGGCGATGCGTCGGTGTTCCGGGTCTGGGGCTCTCGTGCCTTTGTCCGCGATACGTCTGCGGACAAGCTCTCCTCCCGCACCATTCCCTGCGTCTTCCTTGGCTTTCCCCCTGACGCGCCTGGCTGGCAGTTTTACCACCCCACCTCGCGCCGTGTCCTGCCCTCTCAGGACGTCATGTTCGACGAGTCGGTTCCCTTTTACCGTCTCTTCCCCTACCGCAGTGCCCCTCTCCCCCCCCCGCCGCTCTTCCTCGCACCAGGTCCTCCTCCGGTAGACCCCCTCCCCCCTCAGGGTCCTGATCCCTCACGTGTGTCTCAGGTAGACCCTGTCGAGCGTGTCGAGGTCGCTGTCGACTCTGGTGCTGCTCGGGGTGGTGCTGCTAGGGGTGTTGTGTCTGGGGGTGCTGAGCCTGAGCGTGCGGAGCCTGGGGGTGCTGAGCCTGAGAGTGCGGAGCCTGGGGGTGCTGAGCTTGGGGTTGCTGAGTCTGAGGGTGCGGGGCCTGGGGGTGCTGAGCCTGAGCGTGCGGAGCCTGGGGGTGCTGAGCTTGGGGGTGCTGAGCCTGAGCGTGCTGAGCCTGGAGGTACTTTGTCTACTGGTGGTCCTCTGGGAGCCTCGTCACGGCGGGAGCCTCTCTCTCCACCGCAGCTGCGCGAGTGGTTTTCTCGGCGCTGGAGCCTTCGGAGTGGCGCTGCTGGAATTCGGGGGCCTGCCGCTGGAGGCCCTGGAGCTGGAGGCACTGGAGCTGCTGGTCCCGGAGGTGCTCGTACTGGAGGTACTGGAGCTGCTGGAGCTGGAGGTGCTACAGGAGTTGGAGCTGGAGGCGCAGGAGTTGTAGCTGCTGGAGGTGCTGGAGCCGCTGGTCCCGGAGGTGCTCGTACTGGAGGTACTGGAGCTGTTGGAGCTGGAGGTGCTGCAGGAGTTGGAGCTGGAGGCGCTGGAGCTGGAGCTGCTGGAGGTGCTGCAAGCGTTGGAGCTGAAGGCGCTGGATCTGGAGCTGCTGGAGGTGCTGGAGCCACTGGTCCCGGAGGTGCTCGTACTAGAGGTACTAGAGCTGCTGGAGCTGGTGGTACTGCAGGCGTTGGAGCTGGAGACCCTGGAGCTGGGGGTGATGGTGCTATCGGTGCTGGTTCAGGAGGCACTGTGCGGCCGCGACCGTACTTCGTTCCACTGCTTCAGCAGGTTCTTGGTCTCCCGCCCTCTACTGGCCTTACTCCTCCCTTACTGTGTCCACCGCCTGACCAGTCGCGGCCGCAGTTACAGCCAGCCTCCCCACTGCCTGCTCCTTCTCCTTACACTGAGCAGACAGACTCTCTTACAAGGCGTCGTGAGCCTGCGTCTCGCCTGTTCGCGCTGTTCGCACTGGTCGTCGTGTTCCACGTCAGCGTCCTCCTCCTGTCCCAGGAACGCACCAGATGGCACTTCGTCCTTCCTCTGTTCCACAGCGTGTCCCTCTGCCGTCTCCTCATGCGTCCTCTCTTCCTGACGTTCCTGACCCGCGGTCAGACCTTGCTCGTGCTGCCAGTCCTACTGTCACACGTCTTCTAGCCACTGTTGTCACTGACCCTTCGTTTGAGTCCACTGCTGCGTCTGCCCTAGTTGCTGAGCTTGTTGACTTTGCTGTCGCCTGTCGTCTCGACTACGCCGCTAGTCTTGTTGCAGAGTCTGAGTCTGACTGTCCTCCGTCCGTCGGGGGTGAGTGTGCCCTTGGCACAGACGTCCTTGAGGACATGTAGGAGGAATTTTAGTGTCTTGCAGCTGCTGTACCTCATCTCGTGGCCATGCTGCTTGCACCTGAGGGGGACCCGGATGCTTTAGACATCCCGACCCCGCGCTCCTACGCAGAGGCGATTACGGGTCCCTACTCCTCTCAGTGGCAGACAGCCATGGACGCAGAGATGGCATCCTGGAAGTCCACAGGCACTTACGTCGACGAGGTTCCCCCTCCTGGGGCGAACATTGTCGATAGCATGTGGATTTTCAGGGTGAAGCCGGGTTCTCCGCCTGCCTTCAAGGCTCGTTACGTTGCACGAGGCTTTAGTCAGCGACAGGGAGTTGGCTTCTTCCAGACCTTCTCCCCTACCCCAAAGATGACCACTCTTCGGGTGTTGTTGCACGTTGCTGCTCAGCGTGACTACGAGCTTCACTCTCTTTACTTCAGCACAGCTTTCTTACAGGGCACTCTGCACGAGGAGATCTGGCTGCGCCGCCCACCTGGCTTCACTGGGTCGTTTCCCGCAGGTACCCAGTGGAGCCTTCGGCAGCCAGTCTATGGTCTCCGCCAGGCGCCTTGTGAGTGGCACGACACACTGAGGACGACACTTGCGGCTCTTGGGTTTGCTCCTTCGACTGCTGACCCGTCGCTGTTTCTGCGCACCGACACTTTGCTGCCGCTGTTCTACATCCTCGTGTACGTTGATGACTTGGTTTTTGCCACTGCTGACACTCAGGCACTGGCCCTTGTGAAGTCGGAGCTGCAGAAGAGACACACGTGCACAGACCTGGGTGAGCTGCAGAGCTATCTTGGCTTGCAGATCACTCGGGACAGAGCACAGCGCACCATCACCCTGACTTAGTCACACATGGTGCAGCAGGTCCTTCAGCGCTTCAGCTTCCGGTTCTCCTCGCCACAGTCCTCCTCTGCCTACAGGTCACTCGCTCTCAGCTCCACCTTCGGACGAGTCCGTAGAGCCGAGTGGCCCGTATCCAGAGCTTGTGGGCTGCCTCATGTACCTGATGACCTGCACTCGACCTGACCTTGCCTACCCTCTAGCATCCTTGCGCGCTACGTTGCGCCCGGGAGACACCGACCAGAGCACTAGGAGGCCGCTAAGAGGGTGTTGCGCTACTTGTGCAGTACATCGGGCATGGGGATCGTGCTTGGACGACAGGGTTCAATTGTCCTCACTGGACACGCAGACGCTTCTTGGGTTGACGACTTGGCTACGCAGCGGTCGTCACAGGGTTACACCTTCAGCCTTGGCTCCGGCTCTGTTTCTTGGCGGTCTACCCGCTCGTCTTCTGTTCTCAGCTCCAGTTGTGAGGCTGAGATCTACGCAGGGGCCATGGCTGCACATGAGTTACGCTGGCTCACCTACCTGTTGACCGACTTGAGAGAGAGGCCTCGTTCTCCTCCTATTCTGTACGTAGACAACAAGGCCATGATTTCCTTGTGTCAGGAGCACAGACTGGAGCACATGATGAAGCACATCGCTCTGCGTTACTTCCTTACTCGAGAGTTGCCGCAGCGTGGTCAGCTTCGTCTTGCATACGTGGACACTCGGGCCAACACTGCTGATGTCTTCACTAAGGCCCTTGGGTCTGGTGATCATCAGCGAATCTGTACTGCTTAAGGCCTTCTGCCTGCTTCGTCTCACTTGCTCACTACTTGATGCGAAGAATCACTCGACAAAGGTAATGAGCTAGACTACGGGGGGGTAGGCACGAACTACTAAGAGTGATCGTAGCTTTGCTTGCGTTCCTTAGCACTTGCACATTCACGGGAGAAGTTGGCAAGAGTTTCACTAGCAAAGTTGGAATTTCAGAAAAGTTTCACAAGCAATGACAATAATGACTACATCAGGCACCTAGCAACCCTGCAGCTAGCCTGTTCGACCGCCAGCACAGCTTGGTCGACCGCCTGCCAGCGTTGCATAGAGGAGCCGCGCCAGCACTGCAGAAGGGCGACCTGCCAACACTGCAGGTCGACGGCGTGCCAACGCTGCAGCAAAGCGGCTGTCCAGCGTTGCCCCGTAGAAGACAGCAGTGCGCACGCTCGCAGGTGCGCACAGACGATTGGCCCGACTTGCACCGTTGTGCATCCATCGGCTGTTGTCTGCGCCTGACGAGCCACATCGACTTCGGGATACCAGCCCGAAGTCGCCTTCGCCATCGCGACCTCGACGACGTTCGAGTGCCTCCGCAGAACTCGTCGAACAGGTTACCCGGTCGACCTGGTCGACCACCAAGTGCTCCGGTCGACCACCTGTGCCTCTGGTCGACCACTAGGTCCCTCTGGTCGACCACCAGGTCCCTCTAGTCGACCACAGCTCCCGTCGAGCTACCCCCTGGTCGACAGACCCCTTCCGTCGACCAGAACTGTCAGCTGTTGTCGCCGAGCTCCCCTCGTCGACCGCTGCTCACTTGTCAGGTCGACGGACTGCTCCGTCGACCTCCCGGTCGAACTGCAGGTCGACGGACTGCTCCGTTGACCTCCCGGTCGAACTGCCCCTCCTGGTCGACGGCTCACCCGTCGACCAGACCAGTCAGTTGCAGCTGTCGAGCTCCCTGGTCGACAGCAACACCACAGCGGTCCCCTGCAGCTCGACCAAGCCTGTTAAGCAGCTCTCCCACTGTGAACGGTCGGCTGCTACTCCCGTACATCCGACCAAGTCGTCGGCGTTGCCCAAGCGAGGGCAGGGCCAACACTCCATTCCCGTTAACACTCCCCTGCCGCGCTCACGCTTGGGCCTTCAGCCCACACGGCAGTACTCCACGGAGAAAAATCGTCCACGGCGTGCACCCCACACACAGCACGCCGTCACCGCACCAGCTGTGCAGAAGGGCACGGCACCTACTGCTGCACCTCATCGTCGCCGTCGCCGACGTCGGCCAGACGAACTTGGCCGATAGCGACAGAGCACCGGTTGAAAGCCGGAAAATGCAGCGCCTTCGTCAGGAAATCCACCGGCTGCTCGGTGGTCGGGATGTACTTCAACACGAACTTCCCGCGCCTCACCATGTAATGCAGCCAGGCGTAGCGTCGCTCCATGTGCTTGAGGTTGCCCGTCAGCCCCAAGCCCTCAGCGACCGTGATCGCCGACTTGTTGTCCACGCGGAGGACGGTCGGCTTTCCAGCGTCGAGCAGCTTGAACTCTGCTAGGAGGAAGCGCAATCGACGCCCCTCCTTGCCGGCGTCCGTTGCCGCGACATACTCTGACTCGGTCGAGGAGAGCGTTGCGCACTTGATGCGCTGGCTCGACCAGGAGACCACGGCCCCTCCGAAGACGAACACGTAGCCGCCCGTGCTCGTCCGGTTCTGCTTTTCGCCCATGTCATCGGCGTCCACGTAGCCGACCAGCTCCAGCGACTCTGGTCCACCGCCTAACTCCAAGGCGGTGTCGCGGGTGTCGGCGAGGTAGGCGCGGCAGCGATCGACCTCGCGCCAGTGCTGGTCGCTCCTCACCATGAGGCTGCTCCCCAGCTTACTGCAGGCGAACGCGATGTCCAGCCTCGTCGTCGTCGCCGCGAACTGCAGCGAGCCGACCTTCTGCCAGTACTCCTCCTCCTCGCGCTCCTGGGCCTCCTCGTCGTTGAATGTCAGCTCGGCGTAGGCGTCGACCGAGACCGGCGTCTTCGGGACTCGACTGCCTTGCTCCTCGTTGATGAACCGCCTGCGCAGCTTGTCGGCGTAGTTCTGCTGGTGCAGCCACAGCTTCCTCGCTGGCCTGTCGCGCACGATCTCCAGCCCGAGGTACTTGACGACCGGCGAAATCTCGCGCAGCTCGAAGGCAGCCTCCAGCAGCTCCTTCAGCTCCTTCAGCATTGCGGTGCTGCTGATGGCGGCAAGCAGGTCGTTGACGTAGACCAGCACCCAGCAGGTCACTCCGTCGTCGTCAGCCTTGAAGTAGAGCGCCTCGTCGACCTGGCTCTTCTTCCAGCCAGCGCCCAGCAGCACACTGTCGAGAGCCCTGTACCACAGCAGCGGCGACTGCTTCAGCTCGTAGAGGCTCTTCAGCAGCTTGCACACCCGGCCGGTCCCATCGTGGAAGTAGTCCGGCTGGTACATGTACAGCACCCGGTCGAGCTTACTCTACAGGAAGGCGTTCTTCATGTCGAGCTGCATCAGGTGGAGGTCGAGGACGGCGACAATGCTGAGGAAGATCCTCAGCATGAGATAGCTGCTCACCGGCGAGTACGTCTCATCGTAGTCAGCACCGTACCCCTGCGTGAAACCCTTCACGACCAGTCTCGCCTTCTCGCGCTCGACGGTGTCGACGATGCGGTACTTGGTCGTCAGCACCCACCGGTTCTTCATGATGTTCACCCCGCATGGGCGTTCGACCAGCTCCATAGTTCCCATGCCGATGAGGCTGCGGATCTCTTCTTCCATGGCGGCCTTAACCGCCTCGCCCTTCCAGCTCGCCAGCGCCTCCTTTACCGTCATCGTGGCGATGTCCCAGCGGTGTTCGGGGTCGGCATGCACGTCGGGGCTTTCGGTGTGCATGTCGACTTCGGGGTCAGCAGGAGTTGAGCATGCACCCCGACGTGCACGTCGACCCAGCGAGCTTTCGGTACCAGCTTCCTACCGCGCTGCTGCTCGGGAATCATGAACTGCACCATGCAGCCCCACACCCGCGCCAGCGTGAGGTCGGGCTTCTTCCCGGTCAGCAACTGGTGCGGAGTCGTCCCCGGCGGCGTCGTCGATCGCTCCAAGCAGTTGCGCACCCAGACAGCCTGTCAAAGGGCGAGGTGCCACCAGTGGTGCTGCACGCCCATGTGCAGCAGCATCATCCGCACGGACTCGACGACCGTGCGCATCTCCCGCTCAGCCATGCCGTTCTGCTGCGGAGTGTAGGGGCACGTCAGGTCGTGGACGATGCCCTTCCCGTCGACGAAGTTGGTGAAATCCTTTCCGAGGAACTCCCCTCCCCGGTCGGAGCGAAGCGACAGCACCGTCTTCTTTGTCTGACGTTCCACCAGCACCAGCCACTTCTGGAACTCCCGCAGCACGTCGCTCCTCTTAGCGACCGGCATTGCCCACACGAACCGAGTGTGGCGATCCTTCAGCAAAAGGAAGTACAGGCTGCCATCCTTGGCAGCCACCCGAAATGGCCCGCACAAGTCAATGTGCACGACAGCCAGTGCCTCCTCGGCGTTCGAGCCCTTGTCGGGGAAGGTGTGCCGCGCCAGCTTTCCTCCGACGCACGAGACACACGGTGGGTCTGCTCCAGTCGACGGCGTGATGTCGAGCCCAGTAGCAACTTCATGCTTCGCCGAGCTCTTGATCGTGTCGACGTCGACGTGTGCAAGCCTCGCATGCAAACGGTCTGGGGTCGACTTCGTCGCCGAGACGATCGACCGCAGAGCTACCACCTCGGTCGACGGCGATTGCGTCGAGCACGGGCGCAGGTCGGTGCAGAGGACTCGTCCGGTGTGGCGTGCTCGACCGAGCACCTCCCCGGTCGCGGCGACGAGCAGCATCTCGTCGCCGTCGCCCTGCAGCTGCACTCCGCTCTCCTTCAGTTGGCCAGCTGACAGCAGATTCGCCTGGACACCCGATACGTAGAGCACGTCGGGGATGAGGACCCGCTTCCTGGCCTCCCCTTGCAGAGCGACGGTTCCGCGACCCTCGACAGGCTGCAATGCCCCATTGAATCCACGCACGTGCTTCACGCCGTCGCTCGGCGCCATGTCGACGAAGACCGCCTTCGTCCCCATCAGGTGGTGGGAGCAACCGCTGTCGAGCAGCACCGCCATCGGGTTGGCCTGCACAGCTGCTGCCACCACCTAGAAGTCCTCGCCAGCCTCCGGCGCCAGCGAGAGTGTCGACTCCACCAAGTCGACCATCGAGCAC